ACTCAGCTGAAACCCAAGATGAAGAGGAATGGGGGGGGTGGAGGCCAGCAGGGGCAGCAGCTGTCATGCCAGGTGGGTGGACCCACGTACAGAGCTGGGCTTTACCCAAAGGCAGCGGAAGCTAGGGGAACCCACAAACCCCCTCCTCCTCCTCCTTCCTGCTCACAGCCCATGGAGGAACCCTCAGCTCCTGGGACAAGATAGGATACACCTGCCATGCTCCCTACCTTGCACTTGGCCTGGCCTCACATCCTCCCCCTGAACCTGGCCAGGCCTCCAACATCTACAGAGGAGACCCCTTCAGAGGGAAGGTGGAGAACAGGAAGGGCTTTGTAGCCACTGCATTAGCTCCTCACTTATAACCTCTTCTGCCTCCCAAATTTGAGGCCTCAGGGGTTGGTATCAACTACGGCTGAAAAGCTCAGGAGACTTTGCTAGATGGGCACGTTCACGGCCCAGCTGAGCCACTGATTCGCACGTGACGTGATCCCTGAACCCCTCAATGTCCAAGTTTCCTCTCGGGGTTTCTTATCAGGATTGAAGGAACTAAGGTGGGTAAAGGGCCCAGCACAGTGGCCAGCACATAGCGTGCTCCATTGGTGTGAATCACGGTCACTGTTATGAGTCAGTGAATGAGCTCCCCGTCACCGAGAGTATGTAAGCAAAGGGCTGGGGAGCTGATCTCATGAAGGCTGGAGAAGGCATCACAGGCCAGGGTGCAAGGAAGGATTCGATGACATCTGCACTTTTCAATCTCAAAGGTCGCTCCGTTTCCTTCGTCCACCAACCCGCCCACACGCAAACCCAGTCACACAGCTGAGTGCTGGCTGCAGACGGCGGGCAAAATGTCAAGAAATTTCCCCAAGAGATCAAAGAAGGGGTTTTTGTGGGTTTTTCATTTTTTCTCTCTGGCTTTCCAGAAGCACAAGGTCAATAAAACTCCAGTAAAATGCCCCACCTACCACACCAATATAGGGTGCTCAGCCCCAACCAGCACTGGGCCTTGCAGAGGGGAAGTGGGGAGAAGGGACCCCCCCTCTTCCTAGGTCACAGCTTTTAAGTGGAGGGAGCCTGGGACCTGGGATGTCATTTTCTCTCCATCCAGTCCCCATCAAGCCTCTGTCAGGCCGGGGTCGAACGGGCCAGAAGAGGATGAGAAGGAAGTCTCTCTCCCTGTGGCTGGGATTGTGGGTCCCACGAAAAATGAGAGGGCTGTGGCCACTCCTTTCCAGAGGCCCCAGGAGAACTGTGTGGGCGCCACCACCCAGCACCAGGCTAGCAAGGGACGGCCTCATGGAGGAAGGGGGTCCAGGATCGCAGGAGGTAGGGACTGTGGAGAGGGCATCCCAAATGGGGATGGGTATGTCGAAAGGCCCAGAGACTAGGCTGGGTGCAGTGGCTCACACCTGTAATCCCAGCACTTTGCGAGGCTGAGGCAGGCAGATCACTGGAGGTCAGGAGTTGGAGACCAGCCTGGCCAACATGGTGAAACCCCGTCTCTACCAAAAATACAAAAACTAGCTGGGTGTGGTGGCACACATCGGTAGTCCCAGCTCCTTGAGAGGCTGAGGCAAGAGAACTGCCTGAACCTTAGAGGTGGAGGTTGCAGGGAGCTAAGATTGCACCACTGCACTCTAGTCTGGGCAACAGAGCAAGATTCTATCTCGAATAAATACATAAATAAATGAAAAGTCCTAGAGACTTCAAAGCATGCAGCAGTTCCTGCAGAATAGCGAAGGGAGAAGAAGCTGGAAAGGTGAAAGATGACCCCATCATAAGAATGAGAAGCCAGGCATAGTGGCTCATGCCTATAATCCCAGCACTTTGGGTGGCCAAGATGGGCAGATCACCTGAGGTCAGGAGTTTGAGACCAGCCTGGCCAACATGGTGAAACCCTGTCTCTACTAAAAATACAAAAAATTAGCCGGGCGTGGTGGTCCACACCTGTAAGTCCAGCTACTTAGGAGACTGAGGCAGGAGAATCATTTGAACCCAGGAAGCAGAGGCTGCAGTGAGCCAAGATCACACTACTGCACTCCAGCCTGGGCCACAGATCAAGATTCTATCTCAAAAAAAAAAAAAAGAAAAGAAAGAAATGTTTGTTGGATGGGGGATGGATGGAGGGATGGATGGATGGAAAAGTAGATGGGAAGATGGCCAGGAGAGGGGTGGGTGTATGGATGGGGGGTAAAAGGGAGGATAATTGGGGGGACATAGGAAGGAGAGGGTGCTATGGACTGAATTGTGTCCCCCACAAAGTTCATATGTTAAATGTGTTGAATCCCTAACCCCCAATGTGACTGTATTTGGAGGTAGGACTTTTAGGAGATAATTAAGGTTAAATGAGGTCATAGGGATGGGCCCCTAATTCAATGAGATTGGTGGCCTTATGTGAAGAGGGGGAGAAAGAGAGAGAGAGAGAGAGAGAGAGAGAGAGAGAGAGAGAGAGAGAGAGATGTCCCCACCATGAGAAGACTGCCATCTGCAAGCCAAGAAGACAGCCCTCACCAGAAACCAAACCCTGTGAAAACCTTGATCTTGAACCTTCAAGCCTCCAGAACTGCAAGAAAATAAATGTCTATTGTTTAGGTCACCCAGGCTTCAGTATTTTGTTATAGCAGCCCCAGAAAACTCATATAGATAAGTGGATGGATGGGGACTGGATGGGAAGGAACATGGAAAGGGGATGGGAAGGGGTGGGTTAGTGAGTGGTTGAAAAGATGGGTGGATGGACAGGTACGTGGATGGATGGGCGGGTGAGCAGGGACAGGTACTTGGATGGGTGGGTGGGTGGCTGACCAGTGAAGCACGGGAAAAAAGCGGGGGACCCACCTGATAGATCATTCAAAATCAACCCTAAACCAAAAAGAAAAGCAAGAAAGTCCAATAGCGTCCAACCCACTGCTTTCCTCTGTACAATGACTGCTTCAAATCATTGTTGGAAATACAAACAAATCAAAATCAAACACAAAAACATCAAATTCTTTCCCAGAATGTTTCCCTCTGTCCTTTGGGGGCCTGAGCCCAAGTCGGGTCTGAATCTCGTGGCAGAGACAGACCCAGGTTCCCACCCAGCTCCAGTGGAATGCCCCGATGGCCATAGCCCATCACCACCCTCCAGACAGCACAGCTGAGAAGATTAAGTGACGGGTAGATGGGCCCCTCTGCCCCCAGACGATGTCCGCCCACTTGCAATGGCCTGCCGTCCTCAAATCAAAAAGCAGCAAAGATGAACCAGACACACACAGACTTCCTCCCACCCTTACCGGCACACGTAATGGCTGATATCCCCGTCACAGTCTCTGTTCCTGGAGGTCACAGACCACGGGGTATCATTATGTCCTGCCCCACCCATCTATGACCACTGGTTGTGCCTCGGGGCTTTTGATGATAACCACAGGGGCAGAAATGCCTCATGACCCTATTCCAGCGGCTCACCTACCCGGGCCTCAGCATCACCTGTAAAATGGGAAGAACACTCACCCCTGCTCCAGAAGGATTTCCTGGTAATCGACCAGAAGTCGGTCACGGTGCTGGGGGTGGTCGAGTATTCCAGAAAGAGAGCTCTGGTCCAGAAGACTGGTCCCAGAGAAATCTATTGTCCAGGTTGTTCTGAGATAAATGTCTGTTCTAGGCTGGAGCAGTTAAGAACTACAAAGGGGCCGGGCGCGGTGGCTCATGCCTGTAATGACAGCGCTTTGGGCGGCTGAGGCAAGAGGACTGATTGAGCCCAGGAGTTCAGGACCAGCCTGCGCAACATAGAGAGATCTTGTCTCTATTTTAAATTAATACAAAAAGAGAAAAAAGAGGCCAGGTGCAGTGGCTCACACCTATAATCCCAGCACTTTGGGAGGCTGAGGGAGGTGGATCACCTGAGGTCAGGAGTTCAAGACCATGCTGGCCAACATGGTGAAACCCCGTCTCTACTCTAGAAAATTAGCCAGGTGTGGTGGTGCATGCCTGCAATCCCAGCTACTTAGGAGGCTGAGGCAGGAGAATCACCTGAACGAGGCGGAGGTTGCAGTGAGCCGAGATTGTGCCACTGCACTCTAGCCTGGGCAACAAGAGAGAAACTCCATCTCAAAAAAAACAAAGAAGGGGCAGGGTGCGGTGGCTCAAGCCTGTAATCCCAGCACTTTGGGAGGCCGAGGCGAGTGGATCACGAGGTCGAGAGATCGAGACCATCCTGGTCAACATGGTGAAACCCCGTCTCTACTAAAAATACAAAAAAATTAGCTGGGCATGGTGGCGCGTGCCTGTAATCCCAGCTACTCAGGAGGCTGAGGCAGGAGAATTGCTTGAACCCAGGAGGAGGAGGTTGCGGTGAGCCGAGATCGCGCCATTGCACTCCAGCCTGGGTAACAAGAGCGAAACTCCATCTCAAAAAAAAAAAAAAAGAAAGAAAGAAAGAAAGAAGGAAGGAAGGAAGAGGGGGAGGGAGGGATGGAGGGAGGGAGGGAGGAGAACTGCAAAGGGCTTCCAGGCCCCAGAAATGAGAGGTGGTCTGGGGATGTTGACAGCCCAGGTGCTAAGGTCTCTGAGCCCCGACTCCAGCCCTGATCATTTCAGCATTTCCCAGCTCTGTGACCCTGGTCATCAAGAGAAGTGGCTGGAATTTAAGCTTGCCAAGCCCCAGTAACCTCATCTGCAAAATGAGTGTGATAAAGGATAATTGCAAGCACTGAATGAGATGATACAGTGCATATAAAGGTCTCAGACTCATGGATAGTAAGTGTCCAATAAGGGGCAGCCCTAGGTTAAAAATAAAAATTCACAGAGACGGACTTTCCTGTGGCAGCACAAATACTGTCTCAATTCTACAGCCCTAGCCTTCCGAGAGAGTCTCTGGACTGTGCGACGCAGGCAATGATCTGCAGAAAACTGCAGCCAATTATGACCATGACGGTTGGCCACCATTTCCTCACTCATCAATCCCCCCAGAGGGTCATCCATTAAGGACAAATTTCACCCTTGTCCCCACCTCCATCGCCCCCACTCACCCTCGGGACATCGGTAGCAGCACCTTCTGACGCTCTCGTTGTAGTAGTGGCTGGGGTTTCTACAGTCGTCCTTGAAGGGTCGATCCTGGTGGGTCAGACAAGTTGGTGAGGCCAGGTGGGTCCCAGATATCCATAATCCCTCTGTCCCCACCAGTCTCAGGAGGCCTGAGATGGAGCTTTGTATCATAGGAGAGAAATCAGGGCCAGAACTCCTGATTCCACAAACCCACACCACCCTTGGGTTTCCTCCCACCTTAAACCTTAGCATCTCCCTTGACTCTGTCCTCACTAACAACCCATGAGCAAATTCTCCTGGCCATTTTCATACCATAATCATCACCACTATCCCCTCGCCCTAGCATTAACATAGTTGCTTCCTACCTTGTCTCTGGGATGCGTCCACCAGTACAAATTTCTGGTAAACTTATTTGTTGAAGTCTAACACGCCCTTACAAAAAAGTGGGCAGATCTCAAGTTACAGCCCACTGCATTTTTACAGGGCGAACACACCATGAGATCAGCACCCAACTCATCAAATATGACCTAGCCAGCCCCAGCCCTTCCCTCCTCCCCCCTTACACACACTCCCTCCCAAAAGATACCCACTAAACTGATTTCTTTTTTTTTTTTTTTTTTTTTTTTTTTTTGAGACAGAGTTTCGCTCTTGTTACCCAGGCTGGAGTGCAATGGCGCGATCTCGGCTCACCGCAACCTCCGCCTCCTGGGCTCAGGCAATTTTCCTGCCTCAGCCTCCTGAGTAGCTGGGATTACAGGCACGCGCCACCATGCCCAGCTACTTTTTTGTATTTTTAGTAGAGACGGGGTTTCACCATGTTGACCAGGATGGTCTCGATCTCTCGACCTCGTGATCCACCTGCCTCGGCCTCCCAAAGTGCTGGGATTACAGGCTTGAGCCACCGCGCCCGGCCCAACTAAACTGATTTCTATCCTTCTATTAATGCTGTCTGCTTTTGGATTTTACATAAAGTGGAATTACACAGTCTGTTTCCCTGCAACTGGCCTCTTTATTTCAGCATTATATTGAGAGAATCATTCACATTGTTGTAAATAAGTCGCTCATTTCTGTCCATTGCTTTGCAGTACAGCATTGCACAAACATGCACAATTTATTTGTCTCATCTACTCTCTTTCTCTCTCTCTATCTCTCTCTCTCTTTTTTTTTGAGACAGAGTCTTTCTCTGTTGCCCAGACTGGAGTGCAGTGGCGCGATCTCAGCTTACTGCAACCTCTGCCTCCTGGGCTTACATGTTTCTCATGCCTCAGCCTCCCAAGTAACTGAGATGACAGGTATGTGCCACCATGTCTGGCTAGTTTTTGTATTTTTCGCAGAGACAGAGTTTCACCATGCTGGTCAGGCTGATCTCAAACTCCTGACCTCAAATAATCCACTTGCCTCAGCTTCCAAAAGTGCTGGGGTTACAGGCCTGAGCTACCACTCCAGGCCTGCTCTCAATAGATATTTCACTTTTTTGGTTATTATGATAGTGCTGCTGGGAACATTCCTGTACACATGTTTTAGTGCCCAAATGTACATGCTTTTGTTGGTTATATACTGAGGAGTGGAATTGCTGGGGCATAAGGCATGCTCAGTTCTGATAGATTCTCCCTCCAGGCTTCTATAGTAGTCATACCAGCAGGCACTTCCCTGCAGTGTCTGAGGATTCTAGTTGCTCCACATCCTTGTCAGCACTTGCTGATGTCAGTTTTTAAAACTTTAGCCATCTTGGCGGGTCTGTAGTGATACCTCACTGTGGCTTTTATTTGCATTTCTCTGATAAGTAATGTTGTTGGGCACCTTGTCCCATGTCTATTAACCAGTTAGGCATTCTTTTTGTAAGATGCCTGTTCAGGTCTTATGGCCATTTTTTTTTTAATTGGGTTGTCTGGCTTTTCTTATTGATGTGTGCGAGTTCTTTACATATCCTAGATACCCAGCTTCTGTTGATATATGTACTGCAAGTGCCTTCTTGCATCTTCTGGCTTGCCTTTTCACTTTCTTGATGGAGGCTTTTGATGAATGGACATTCTTAGCTTTAATAAAGTACATGTACCAATCTCTTCTTTTATGGCGAATGCTCCTTTTTTTTTTTTTTTTTTTTTGAGACGGAGTTTCACTCTTGTTACCCAGGCTGGAGTGCAATGGCGCCATCTCGGCTCACCACAACCTCCGCCTCCTGGGTTCAGGCAATTCTCCTGCTTCAGCCTCCTGCGAATGCTCCTTTTTTGGTCTTGTTTAAGAAATATTTGCCCATCCAGGCCGGAAGCGGTGGCTCACACCCATGATCCCAGCACTTTGGAAGGCCGAGGCAGGTGGGTCACGAGGTCAAGAGATTGAGACCATCCTGGCCAAGATGGTGAAACCCCATCTCTACTAAAAATACAAAAATTAGCTGGGCATGGTGGCACAGGCCTGTAATCCCAGCTACTCAGGAGGCTGAGGCAGGAGAATCGTTTGAACCTGGGAGGCAGAGGTTGTAGTGAGCTGAGATGGAGCCACTGCATTCCAGCCTGGCGACAGAGTGACACTCCATCTTAAAAAAAGAAAAAAGAAGGCCGGGCACGGTGGCTCAAGCCTGTAATCCCAGCACTTTGGGAGGCTGAGGCGGGTGGATCACGAGGTCAAGAGATCGAGACCATCCTGGTCAACATGGTGAAACCCCGTCTCTACTAAAGATACAAAAAAATTAGCTGGACGTGGTGGCGCGTGCCTGTAATTCCAGCTACTCAGGAGGCTGAGGCAGGAGAATTGCCTGAACCCAGGAGGCGGAGATTGTGGTGAGCCGAGATGGCGCCATTGCACTCCAGCCTGGGTAACAAGAGCGAAACTCTGTCTCAAAAAAAAAAAAAAAAGAAAAAAGAAATATTTGCCCACCCAGTGTCACTTAGATATTCTCCTACATTAACTTCTAAATGAGATTGTTTAATCTTTCATATTCAAGTTTCATTCTTGTGCATAAAGTAGGGGTCGGAGAAACTCACTCTTTTCAGGAAGGTGTGGTTTTTGTTTTATGGGTTTTTTTGGTTGTGTTTTTTTTTTTTTTTTTTTTTTTTTGAGATGGGGTCTCACTCTTGCCCACACTGGAGTGCAATGGTGCAATCATGGCTCACTGCAGCCTCGACCTCCCCAGGCTGAAATAGTCCTCTCTCCTCAGCCTCCCAAGTAGCTGGGGCCACAGGCGTGCAGCCCCACACCTAGTTAATGTTTTATTTTTTGGTAGAGACTGAGTCTTGCTATGTTGCCCAGGTTGGTCTCAAACTCTTGAGTTCAATCAATCCTCCTGCCTCAGCCTCCCACAGTGCTGGGATTACAGGTGTAAGCCACCTCACCCGGCCTCAGGAAGATGTTTTTAACAAGCCCCCTCATGTGTTTCAAGGGTTCTTTGAAAGTGAAGCCCCATTGTAAGAAAGGGTTCAAGAGAGGAAATTCTCTGTTGAGATCCCAGGGAAGGAGTTTTGTCTTTCCACATAGAACGACGGGGAGCACTTTTCTAGCGTGATCCGAGATGTGAAACTTCTAGGGTGGGGGAAGGGGAGAGGAAGGGAGGCAGGAAGTGAGGCAGGAGTCAGGCAGGAAGTGAGGCAGGAGTCAGGCAGGGAGCCTTGTCACATTTCCATGTCTTCAGCATCCAAGATGGTGCCTGGCAGAAAGGATGTGGCCCCTGGTGCAATGTGGGGCTTTCTTGATTTGGGGAAGGGAAGTAGAAGCCACTTGCCCCCAGGAGAGAGGCCTGGCCAGCCTAAGGGACTGCTTGACTCTTGTCTCCACTCAAGGGAACAGTGAAGCCCTGGCATGTTCAGGAAGTAGCAGAGAGCAGCAGCATGGCTGGAAGGTGGATAAATGGGGTGTTTGGTTATATCATTATTATTTTTTTTTTTTTTGCTCATCTGAAACATGTCACCATATTAATTTGAAATAATAAATGAACTTGATATTTGCCCCATAGTCACATGGTGCTTGGATTGTCTCCCTTCTCATTTAATCCAGAGCCCAGGGCCTTGGGCACACCCTCCTCCAGTAGGGAGGAGGGTGTCCTCTCTCAAGTCACCTAGGGGGCTCCTGGGGGCCTCTCCAGATGGCAAGAAACTGCCAGGACCCCTGACGTACTCCTAACCCACAGCATCAGCAGCCTGCGCCTGGGGCTGGCTGGAGGTGTGAGGGCTCACGTGCTAGGCCTGCTGAGTGTGGGGACATTCTGGGTCCTTGTCCTGGGTCTCCTCTCCTGACTTGCCTGCTCATCTCACTGACAGCTACGGAGTCTACAGGGACCATGGCCGCAGGCCCTGCTCACTCTGCTGGGGCACAGTGGGGGACACTCTGGCTTTGTTTCCCTCCTGCCACCACACCTGGCTCATTGGGGGAGGAGGGAGTACAGAGAATGGGGAGCCCAAGGCATTGCACATGACTCCCCCAGGTCTAGCTTTGGGTACCTGCTTTCACACAGCCCCTCCTTTACACACCCCCAGCTCTTTGGGGCCAGATCACTAACCCATGTTACAGATGAGGAAACTGCAGCCTAGAGAGGTGTAGCCACCTGCCCAAGGTCACACAGCAACTAAACGCAGAGAGGAGATTTGAGTTTCATGTCCCCACCTCTCCCCTATCTCTGGGCCACAGGCTACCCATCTTTAAAATAAAAAAAAGTCCAGGGCCAGGCGCGGTGGCTTATGCCTGTAATCCCAGAACTTTGGGAGGCCAAGGCAAGAGGATTACTTGAGCCCAGGAATTCGAGACCAGCCTGGTCAACATGGTGAAACCCTGCCTCTATTAAAAATACAAACAAACAAACAAACATAGCCGGGCGTGGTTGTGGGTGCCTGTAATCCCAGCTACTAGGGAGGCTGAGGCATAAGAATCGCTTGAACCCGGGAGGCAGAGGCTGCAGTGAGCCGAGATCACGCCATTACACTCCAACCTGGGCAACAAGGGCGAAGCTCTGTCTCAAAAAAAATAAATAAATAAAAATAATAAAAATAAATTTTAAATGCCCAAATATCCTCAAAATAGTGCCCCCAGGAGAAACAAGCTTGATCACTCTGCTATCATCAGGTCCCCACTGACCACCGAGTCTGCCACGAAGAAGACAGGAGACAACACACTCGTGTTCGCTGTGGATGTCAAAGCCAACAAGCACCAGATGCAACAGGCGTGAAAAAGCTCTAGGACATGCACATGGCCAAGGCCAGCACCCTGACTTGGCCTGATGGAGAGAAGAAGTCGTGTGTTCCACTGGCTCCTGATTACAATGCTCTGGATGTCGCCAGCAAAACTGGGATCATCTTGGTTGGGCACGGTGGCTCAGACCTATAATCCCAGCACTTTGGGAAGCTGAGGCCGGCGTATCACCTGAGGTCAGGAGTTCGAGACCAGCCTGGCCAACACAGCAAAACCCTATCTCTACTGAAAATACAAAAATTAGCCAGTTGTGATGGTGCATCATGGCTACTGTAATCCCGGCTACTCAGGAGGCTGAGGCAGGAGAATCCCTTGAACCCAGGAGGCAGAGATTGCAGTGAGTCGAGATTGTGCCATTGCACTCCGGCCTAAGCAACAGAGTGAAAACCTCAAAAAAAAATAGAAAATTAAAAAATAAAAAAGTGGTGATAACCAGCCCTGCGCTGCACGGACTAGCGAACAATACAGTCAAGATGGCTAAAGGTGACCCCAAGAAACCAAAGAGCAAGATGTCTGCTTACGCCTTCTTCGTGCAGACGTGCAGAGAAGAACATAAGAAGAAAAACCCAGAGGTCCCTGCCAGTTTTGCAGAATTTTCCAAGAAATGCTCTGAGAGGTGGAAGACAATGTCTGGGAAAGAGAAATCTAAATTTGATGAAATGGCAAAGGCGGATAAAGTGCGCTGTGATCGGGAAATGAAGGATTACGGACCAGCTAAGAGAGGCAAGAAAAAGAAAGATTCTAACGGCCCCAAAAGGCCACCTTCTGGCTTCTTCCTGTTCTGCTCAGAATTCCGCCTCAAGATCAAATCCACAAACGCTGGCATCTCTGTTAGAGACGTGGCAAAAAAGCTGGGTGAGATGTGGAATGGCCTAAGTGACAGCGAAAAGCAGCCTTCCGTCACTAAGGCGGCAAAGCTGAAGGAGAAGTGTGAGGAGGATGTTGCTGACTGTAAGGCGAAAGGAAAGTTTGATGGTGCAAAGGGTCCCGCTAAAGTTGCCCAGAAAAAAGTGGAAGAGGAAGATGAAGAGGAAGAGGAGGAGGAGGAGGAATAAAAAAACTGTTTATCTGTAAAAAAAAAAAAAAAAAAAAAAAAAAAAGTGGTGATAATCATATGTGTATACATAAAGAGAGTGAGAATGCAGACATACAAAGCCACCTATGTAAATAGCATCTCAAGGACACCAAAGGCTGGGAGGTGGCAGCTTCTTTTCAACAATAATTCTCTGCAAATCTCTAGCCTACCATGAGAGGGCAGTCTTCTTGCTGTGCGGAGGGGCCACGGGCTCTCAGCTGGGATGCACAACCCGTGCCTCTCAGACCCCCATGAAAAACGGAGGCGCAGAGGACTTGGGACCCCATTTTCCACGTGGGGCCGAGCAAGGTAGGGGCACCCCTTTCCCCTACCCCTTCCCCTCACACAGGCTCTTCACAGTCTCAGCTCCTGGTGGAGAAGGAGGCAGCAGCCCAGGTACCTGCAGCCGCCCAGAGAAGTCTGGCCCTGTGAATTTCCAGGGCCACCCTGCCTGGCTCACCAGCTCCTGCTGCCCTGGGGAAGAGGCAGAGGGAGCTGGGATGTGCTCTGGCCCCTGCCCGGGAAGGAAGGAGAGGTCAGGAAGTAAAGAGTGGGAGGGGGAAGCCCAACAACTGAGGGGGGAGGGGGCTTTTGGGTGGAGTTCCCCGCAGGTTCAAGGCAAAACGAAGTGTCCACAAGGTAATGAGCTGTGCAGCTGGGGGCCCTGGCCCCACCTTAACAGCATCAAGATGAAGAGAGCGCGGCCTAAAACCTTGCCATTTCTAGGCCTGTCTATTTTCAGGTTGGTTTGGTTTTCCCTACAAACCCTGTTAAGTTCACTTTCAAAAAGCCCCACCTGGTCTCGGCCAGACCATACCTGTGGGAGATGAGTCTAGAAGTTGTGGGGGGCTTGGGGCATCTGATCAAATGCAAAATCCCCAAAGGGGCCAGAGCTGGGCAGAGCCAGCGAGGTAAGCACCTCTCCCCTCCCTGTCTCCCGGGGATCTCCACCACTGTGCACCCTGACACTGTGCACCTATTACTCAAGGTGAGGCCCTGGGCTAGCCATATGGGCACCACCTGGGAACTTTCTCAAAATGCAGAACCTGAGACCTCCCTAACTGGAATCTGCATTTTAACAAGAGCCCCAAGGAGTTTGAGATGCACTGGCCTAACAGAAGCTGAGCAGAAAAAAGTGCAAATGCTAGAACGGCTTTCCATAGCAAAAGTAATTCTGATAGCCAACAACTGCCAACCCATTTTACAGATAGGGAGACTGAAACACAAGGACATTGGGAAATCTGCCCGAAGTCACACAGCTGGGCAGTGTTAGAGCGAGGATTTGGCACATGCTCTGATCTGCCAGCTTCTGCTGCCTGGGGTGGGGGGCGCTGCAGTCCACGGCTCTGAGATCCCTGCTCCCACTCTCCTTGAGACTGACTGCTTTTTTTTTTTTTAAGACAGAATACTCACTCTGTCACCCAGGCTGGAGTGCAGTGGGGCGATCTCGGCTCACTGCAACCTCCACCTCCCAGGTTCAAGCAATTCTCCTGCCTCAGCCTCCCAAGTAGCTGAGATTACAGGCGCCTGCCACCACATCTGGCTATTTTTTGTATTTTTAGCAGAGGCAGGGTTTCACCATGTTGGCCAGGCTGGTCTCGAACTCCTGACCTCAAATGAGCCACCCACCTCAGCCTCCCAAAGTGCTGGGATGACAGTTGTCAGCCACCGTGCCTGGCCGAGACTGACTGCTTTTTGAAATGCTTGCTTCTCCCTTGGCCCCCAACCTCCCCAACCTATCACTAGTTCTGTCTATGTAACCTGCAGTTTTACCCCCAAATCTACCATCTCTTCCTCACCTTCCCACCATCTGGACTTGACAGTAGCCACCTGAGGGTCTCCTCGCATCCACCCCATCCCCCCACCAGCTCACAGTGCAGACACCAGACCTATCTTTTTAAAACACCATTGGCTGTCTTCCCCTCCATCCTGTTGAAGACTCTCAGGTGGCTTCCAACCCAGCTGTGAATAAAGCCCAAGTCTTGTGTTTGCTTCAATAGCACATGTACTAAAATTGGAATAATACAGAAATTAGCATGGCCCCTACATAAGGATGATATGAAAATTCGTGAAATGGTCCATATTTAAAAAAAAAAAAAAAAAAAAAAAAAAAGTCTTAACAGGACCCAAGAGGCCCTGCCCTCCTCGCCTGCCTGTGAAGCCCAGGGTGCTCTCTCCCACCAGCCTCTTTTTGCCACTGTCACCCCACAGGCACCCCACTCCCTGCGGCAGCCTGTGAGTGCTGTTCCCCTGCCCGCCTCAGTCCCTGATTCCAGTGCACCCCCGTTCATCCTCAGGACCTCACTCGTGAGTGATGCTTCCTCTGGGGAGCCCCCTCTGATCACCCCCATCCAGGTCACAAGCTGTGTCCCTACTGGAAGCTCTAGGGGACTCGGTTTCCTCGCTCACTAAGGTTGTTGGCAGAATTCAGTTCCTTGCGGTTTTAGGACTGAGGCCCTGTTTCTTTGCCGACAGCCAATTAAGGGTTGTTCCCTGCTTCGAGGGACTGTGACGTCCTTTGGCTCATGACCCCTTACTCCACCTGCAAAGCCAGCAATGGCGGGCTGAGTCCTTCTCGAATCACATCTCTCTCTTCACCTCTAACATCTCTCTCTAACGCAGCCAGGAAGGGTTCTTTGCCTTTTTTTTTTTTTTTTTTTTTTTTTGTGTGTGTGTGACACAGTTTTACTCTTGCTGCCCAGGCTGGAGTTCAATGGTGCAATCTCAGCCCACTACAACCTCCACCTCCTGCGTTCAAGGGATTCTCCTGCCTCAGCCTCCCGAGTTGCTGGGATTTCAGGCATGTGCCTGGGTTATTTTCTATTTTCAGTAGAGATGGGGTTTCTCCGTGTTGGTCAGGCTGGTCTTGAACTCCTAACCTCAGGTGATTCACCCACTCAGCCTCCCAAAGTGCTGGGATTACAGGTGTGAGCCACCGTGTCCGGCCGGGTTCTCTGCTTTTAAGGTCTCATGTGATTAGATTGGGCCTGTCCTAATAATTCCAGGATAATCTCCCTGTCTCAAGATCCATAGTCACAGGTTCCAAGGATTAGAATGTGTGGACATTTGGCTGTGCACAGTGGTCCGTGCTTATAATCCCAGCTCTTTGGGAGGCGGAGGCAGGAGGATTACTTAATCTCAGGAATGTGAGACCAGCCTGGGCAACATGGCGAAGGAGAAAACCCGTCTCTACAAAAGATACAAAAACTAGCCAGGCATGGTGGAATGCATCTGTAGTCCCAGCGACTCGGGAGGCTGAGATGGGAGAATCGCTTGAGCCGTGGTTGGGCCACGGCAATCCAGCCTGGGTGACAGAGTGAGACCCCGTCACAAATTAACAAAATAGAATGTATGGACAGTTTAGAGGACTGTGCTTCTGCTGCTACAGTTCCACTCCTAAGCAGCCGCTAGACTACTCCCCAACACGCCGGACTCGGTCACCTCCTAATTCTGTGGGACTCTGAACTCCTCTCTCCACACTGAGTGCTCACTCGACCTCCAGACCAAGAGACTACCTGAAACTAAAGTCATCCTCTTTAAACACACCCACTGGTACACACAGTCCCTCCCTGGCCACAGCCAGCACCTCTTGTGGTTGTCCCACCTGCAAGCAGGTGCCGAGCTGAGCTTCTCCCAGTTCCTGCACAGCTGAGGAAGAGCGTGCAGGGATCCAGGCTGCCTGGCCCGAGGGTTGGAGATAAAACCCAAAGACAGCGGACACAGAAACAGCCACAGAGGATGGAGCCAGGAGTCCCTGGCTGGAAGGAACCTCAGGGACAGGCAAGCACCTGGAGAAGCTGTTTGTGTTAAGAGTTGAAGAAAAAAGAAGAAAACATGAAAAGTGGCTTAACAGTCAAAGGTAGGTTTATTCTGGGGAATAAAGCTGAGAGGGGCTTCGGGCTGATTTCGGTCAGCAGCATTTTCTCTTACAGACCAAGGTATTTAAAGGTTCTGGGAGGGGGAGCTTATCGAAGGCTAGGAACGTTTCTGTGTGGAGCAGAGTTTTACTGTGGGGTTGGAATGTCTCTGGTCAGATGGGGGTGTTTATCTTAGGGTTGGAATATTTCTGGTTGGAAATGTCATTGTGGTTTATGGTCATGCTGATATTAGCCATTAGGCTGATATTTTGGGGCTGGATTAGGTGGTTTCTAATCAAGGAGAACTTAATTAACATGGCGATGCTTGTCCAAGATGGTGACACTCCTGCTCTGCCAGTTAGCAAGAATCATATCACTCTCACTAGGTGCCTACCGTCCTGTGGGATGGAAGGAGAACGTGAGAAGGCATCTGTGGTCAGCAGAATAGCACCCACTAAAGATGACCACTTCCTAATCCCCAGGAGCTAGGGTGACATATTGTGGGAAGTAGAAAAATTTTTTTTTAAGTTTCCTTTCTTGTTAGAGAATAAGTGTGCTAATAACTTTGTTGAGCCCTATTCTATGTAGCTGTTAGACATGCCATGCTTACAGGCACATAGTACATTCCATGTCCTTGTACTTTAATCAAGGTATCTGTGCTGGATGTGCTCGCAGGCATGTCCCAGCTCGCCAATGCCTTTACTTGTTTTAAAAAGTGTTAAGTTGTCAGCCAATCGCGTTTTAGTTTAGATTATGAGGTCTGTCTCCAGCCAACGAAGATCAGATACAGCAGTAAGGACGACCCCAAATGCGTAAGGAATAAATTTGTCTGTTTTCCTTTGTTCATTGTGCTCTTGTGGCACGATGGCTAGCAAGGGTACCCTTCCTGCAGTCCAAGAGTAAAAACTGCATTGCTGAAAGATCCTTTGTCCCAGTACTAATTTTTCTTTATGACTTCTATCCTCTATTTCCAACATATATTCATATATGTGCTCATATACGTCACCTTACATAGCAAAGGGGAATCAGGGCGGTAGATGGCATTGAGGTTGTGAACCCACGGATTTTGAGATTCTTCTGGATTATCCAGCTGGGCCCAATGCAGTTTAAGGGAATTTACAAATGCAAGAGGGAAGCAGAAGAGAGAGTCAGAAAAAGAGAAGAGATGAGCCCAGAAGCGCTTCACTGTCATTTCCCAGACAGCATTTTATCAAATGCTGGAGCTACAGGAAGGTAATAGATGACAGGCAAAAAAAAAAAAAAAAAAAAAACAAGTCCAGGCATGGTGCTTCATATCTGTAATCCCAGCACTTTGGGAGGCCAAGGCAAGAGGATTGTTTAAGCCCAGGAGTTCGAGACCAGCCTGGGCAACATAGCAAGATCCTGTCTCTATAAAAAAAAATTTTTTTTGACCGAGTCTCACTCTGTTGCCCAGGCTGGAGTGTAGTGGTGCAGTATCAGCTCACTGTAATCTCTGCTTCCCGGGGTTCGAGGAATTCTCCTGCCTCAGCCTCTCAAGTCTCTGGGATTACAGGCATGCGCCACCACACCTGGGTAGTAGAGATGGGGTTTCACCACATCTCAACCTCAGCCTCCCAAAGTGCTGCCATTACAGGTGTGAGCCACTGCGCCCAGCCTAAAAAAAAAATTTTTTTTTAATTAGCTGGGTGTGGTGGCATGTGCGTGTAATCCCAGCTACTTAGAAACTAAGGTGGGAAGATTGTCTGAGCCTAAGAATTGGAGGTTACAGTTACAGTGAGCTCTGATTGCAACACTGCACTCCAGCCTGGGCAACAGAATGAGACAGTCTCATAAATAGATAAATAAACAAAAATCATTACTGGAGTCCATTTGAGAGGTTTCCATTTTAGATCACTGGGCCCCTCAGAGCCTTTGATGTGCTTACTTACTCTCTGATTCTCCAAAGAAGTGTTTGGGGGCTGGTCAGAAAAATGTGCCATGTTTTTCAAACTTCCTTGGCCATAGAACGGTTATTTCTCAGAACTGCCATTGCCAGACAGTGACTTTGGGAAATGTTGCCTTTGGCACCAGGGAACCTTTAAAGGGTTTCAGGACCATTCACGTGGGGGAGGTGAACAGGATGGAGAAGAGTGAGTCCATTTTATCAAGGTCACATCTTGAGTCCGAATTCAGCAACTGCTCAATCTTCACTTCCCATCGAGAAATCCCTACTGCCCCACAGAAATCCCGATCCAGCTCCATGAGCCGATTGCTCAGACTGCAGGGACCCTAACGGTTCCAGCGCTGAAGGTCGTGTTACAGCTGCATTCCTAGCTACAGCTGAGATGGGGTAGAAACCACAAAGCCCCGAAGTACATTCCCGGGCAGCAACAGCCGCCACAGGACCGTGGCAGCCGCAAAGGAAAATGTAATGGGCTGGGCATGGAGGCTCCCGCCTGAGGTCCCGGTACTTTGGGAGGCCGAGGCAGGCAGATTATTTAAGGTCAGGAGTTTGAGACCAGTTTAACCAACATGGTGAAACCCTACCTCTACTAAAAATACAAAAAAATTAGCTGGACATGGTGGCGGCCACCTGTAATCCCAGCTACTTGGGAGGCTGAGGCAGGAGAATTGCTTGAACCTGGGAGGCAAAGGTTGCAGCGAGGCAAGATCTCATCACTGCACTCCAGTCTGGAGAGAGACTGTCCTAAAGGAAAGAAAAGGGGAGGGGAAGGGAGGATGGAGAAACCCTGTCTCTCCTAAAAATACTTTAAAAATTAGCCGGGCGTGGTGGCAGGCGCCTGTAATCCCAGCTACTGGGGAGGCTGAGGCAGAAGAATCTCTTGAACCTGGGAGGCGGATGTTGCAGTGAGCCGAGATTGTGCCATTGCACTCCAGCCTGGGCAACAAGAGCAAAACTCCATCTCAAAAAAAAGGAAAAACAAAAAACAAGAAAGTTGATTGCTGAGATGAAGCTGTGGGTGATACTTCCAGGAGTTCTCAGCCCTCTGGAGGACCCAAAAGAAACCTGCTGGGTGGGGCTTCCAAAGCAGGCCTCAGGCTCGCCCCAAACACCAGCGCTGATGTGCTATTTGACCTCTGACCCCTTCTGCTGCCTCAGAGCCCTGGGCAAAGCTGGCTAGGGCAATGGCACCATCTGTGGCTCAGAGCCTCATCTCTGCAAACTCCGGAGCCTCCCCCAAAAGCCTTCCCCCCGACTGACCCAGGTGGAAGTGAAGATGAGTTCCTCTGGACTCCCGCAGGCCCCAG